CATGTTTTGAGTAAGAATGGGTCATGCATAGCGCTTCAACTCCATCTTTATCCTTTTTTGGCTTCTATTGCACCAGTTTTCTATTTTGCATCTTCTCACTTATTTGCTACACACATAACCAAAAAATGAAGCTTGCCAAAGAAATTGCCCATAAAACAGGGCAAAACAACAGTAAATAACATGTCGAATGCAATAGTTTTATGGAGGAGTCTTGTTTCTATGCAACATCACATAACAAATGGATCCTCATGTCTTCATTTTATTAATACATGGTTTGATATGGCTTGTGGCTTGGACGTGTCCATTCCAACATTCCTTTCTCTAATTAACAATAATTTGTGCTTATGATCCACCTCTTGTTATTAATCATATTGAATAGAAGTACTCACTAGCCATGAAGACTCCACAACCAACCATACCAAGTTTGGATAATGCATCAATCATTATCTTCAAACTCACACATGAGCAACTCAACAAACTCAAAGCCAAGTCCAAAGAAGATGACAACACAATCAACTATAATTCCTATGAGATGATGGCAATGATGAAAACTTGTCTATGGAAATAGCCTTTCAACCATGGCATATGAAGGTGTTTGATGATTTCTTGTATGAAATGTTTTAATAAAGAAGGGAACTCATGAAGATACTTGTCCCATTTTATTTGAATGCAAGATAGTTAAATAGCAAAACACTTTAAAAAAGACAGAAATTGCTTTAAGATATTTAACGAAACACCTCATATGTATAACCCAACAAAACAACCATTCCCCCATAAGAAAACCCCCAAAAATGAAAATCAAGCAAAACCACCAATAGACAAAATATGAGCAAGAATAATTAACAACGGAGAACAAAACGAATAACATGTGAACCTAAGACACGAGTGCAAAGAAGAACGAACGTTGGGTGGAAAGGGACGAAACTCCTTCACTGGTGACAAAAATGTGATGCCAGAGGCTTGTCATATATGGAAATGCCATGACAAAGGCTCACCAAAGGACGTGGGAGCTTGGACAACAAAATCACTATAGGAAAAATGGCTCATGAGAGAAAAGAATGAATGCACGAGGAGAGAAGTGACCTTTCTTTTATGCATATAAGAAAACCTATAATCAATTATAACATAATTGATTTAGTATAGTATATACACAATAGGTTAAACACTTAACTGATTTTGTATGTGCAATACTAAATTGATTATATTATAACCGATTAAAAAGGTGCAACATACCAAAATAATTCAGCTTTTAACTTATTTGGTATGTATATACTAAATCGATTACCATGTAATCGATTGGTAATCGATTTAATAGATGTTCATCGTATTTACAATCAATTTAGTAACCTAACATCGTAGGCTATTTTTGAACTAGTTATTTGGGATGTTCTTAAATTAGAATATCAAGGCTATCAAATAAAAGAAGGAATGCAATTTCTTAACTTGTTCCAAAAATTTGGAATGTAGAGCATAAATATAAAAATGATAAAAGGTTATGCTAATAGGTTGTTAAGCAAAGCAAATAAAGTGTGGCTTCTTGGTAACGACTTTCTTGATGAGAGAATAATACAAAAAATTCTAGTTATTGTTCCCAAAAATCATGAGTCAAAGATATTAGCACTAGTTGAGTCAAAAGATTTGTCAACCATCACCTTGGGAGAATTCATAAATGATTTACATGCACAAGAATAAAGAAGAGTGATGAGACAAGAGGAGACATTACAAGGTCATTTTCATATAAAAGCACAAAATTCAAGATGTTTCAAAGGTAAGAAAATAACAAATGAGAGAACAAAAAGCCAAATTCTCCAACAACCAACAAGTTGAGACTTTTCCTCCTTGTATGCATTGCAAAGACAAACCATCCTCAAAAAAGATGTTGGTGAAGGCTAGATGTTAAGTGTAGAAAATGTTGTGATATGGGACATGTAGAGAAAATCTATAAGTCTAAACCAGAGAAGGCATAGGTGATTATAGAGGAACTAGAAGATGAGTAATTCTTTGTTGCAACATGCTTTGCTACAAGCAACAACTTTAGTGATTCGTGGCTTAAAGTTAGCGATTGCATAAACCATACAACCAATGACCAAAGGTTCTTAATAGAGTTTGACAAAACCATCATTTCCAAAGTAAAAATTTGAAATTATGATTTGTTTTTAGTCAAAGAAAAAAGAACTGTGCTATGGAAAATCTTGGTAGGTTTGAAATGTATCTTTGATGTCTTATATGTATTTGACATTGACCAAAATTTTCTTAGTGTTGCACATCTTGTAGAGAAAGGTTTCAAAGTCTTATTTGAAGACAATTGGTGTTTTTCAAAGATGCAAAAGGCATAGACATGTTCAATGTGAAAATGAGAGCTAAAAGCTATGCTTTAAATATGGTGGAGGATGACCAAATAGTTTTTTCAAGCACAACCACCAATGTTGAACTATGGCACAAAAGATTGACATGTCAACCTTGTTGAACTTTTACACATGCAAAAACATGCCTTGGTAAAAGGTGTCTCGATGCTTGAAGACATAAGTTTGCTGATTGCATGACATACTAATGTGGTAAGCTAGTTAGGAAGCATTTCTTGAAATAGATTAAAGAGCAACTCAAAAGTTGCAGCTGGTTCACAGAGATGTTGAAAAACCTCAAAGAGTATCATTTTTAATGGTTAAGAGAGACAAACTTGTCAAAAAGGAAAAACTAGGAGTTTTCGTTGTATACAACAACACTTCCAAAACTTACAAAATTTTACAACCACAAAATGGAACAATTATTGCGGGTAAAGGTTTCAAATTCATGGAAGATCTATAATGGAATTGGGAGGAACTAATAAGGAAGCAGTTGTCAGATGTTCTTTGATGATGGTATAGATGACATTCCATTTAGAGGAGGAGATTCATGTAAAATAGCCTAAGGGGTTGTAAATCAAAGGACCGGAGGAAAAACTTTACAAGTTGAAAAGGGCCTTATATGGTCTTAAAGAAGCTCTTAGGGGATAGTACAACAGGAAAAAATGATCACCTTCAAGATCTTGGATTTTTCAAAAGTCCAAGTGAAGTTGTATTATATGTGAAGTTGTTAAATTCAAATTTAATCATTATTGTTTTCTATGTTGATGATTTACTAGTGATAAGAAGTAATGAGAAACTCATAAAGGTGTTTAAAATTAAAATGCTCAAACTATTTGAAATGACAGACCTTGGCTTAATGAGTTTTTTTATTGGGAATGGAGGTGAAACAAAGGTCATGACAGAATCTCTATATGCTAAAAGAAGTATGCAATGGAAATACTAAAAATTTTCATATGGAAAACTACAAAAGCACTACATCTCCAATGAATTAGGAGGAGAAGTTTAACAAGGATGATGAAGTTGATGAAAAGCATTATAGAAACATGATTGTTTGCTTAATGTATCTTACTACAACCAAACCTAACATTTTGTTTACAATAGCCTCGTTTCAAGATATATGCATTGTGCTAGTGAAGTACATTTTTAAGCTATCAAAAGAGTTATTAGATACATGGTTGTCAATCTCGAGTTACAACTCGTAATATTGTCCAAGATTACGAGTTTACTTAAGCAAAATGTGACAACTCAAAGGTAAACTCGGTTAAACTTGCATGAAATCCCGAGTTTACCATGAGATCTACAAGTTTACCAAATCCCGAAACCCTAAAACACGCGTTTCATTAAGGATAGAAACCTTTGTCATTCATTCTTTTCTTCTTTCCTTTGTGTGTTGTCAGCTTCTCCTTTGCATGTCTTTCTCCTTCACGTCATTGCTCCTCCATGTCGCACCACTGCTTCTTCGTACATCGCTCCGATCCATGTCGTGCCACTGCTCCTCCGTGCATCATTTCGATCTATGTCGCGTCGCACCTCCTCTGCGCATCATTCCAATCCGCGCTGAGTCATGCCGCTTCTCCTCCATAGTCTCACTCATAGTCGCTTGCCATCGCGCTAGCAGTCACACTCATTGTTCTTCGTGTGGACGTTTTGTCTGAGTTGCATTCGTGCTCTTTCGTGAGCCGCATCAGCCACCAAGAAAAAGGTTCTTTTTAGTCTTATATTGCTTTAATATGAAGTTGAATGATAATTATTATGTTATTACTATGTATTTTTTAACATATTTTTTATATTAAGTAAACTCTTACGAGTTTATGATATGGATTAATGAAACCTCCACGAGATTACGTAAACTCTCGAGATTGACAATCTTAATTAGATATATTAAAAGAATTTTAGTTATGGTGTAATGCACTCATATTCTCCTAATTTTAAGCTTCACCATACTCAAGTAGTGATTGGACAAGTTGTGTTGATGACATGAGAAACACCTTTGGTTATTGTTTAATTTTGGTGAGTTTTTTCTTGGTGTTCTAAAAAGTAAAAAGGTATTAGCCCAATCAACTGCACAAGCAATATGTAGTAGTTGTTGTTGCTACAGTGAAAATAATGAAAGATTTTCATATGGAACAAGAAGAGAACACTCAGACTTTTGTGGACAGTCGAGCTACAATCTCATTTTCAATGATTTGGTGTTTCTTTGCAAAACAAAGCATTTCAAGATAAAGTTTTTCTCCCAAGAGAGGTTCAAAGGGAAGGAGAAGTAAACCTTTGTACAGCAAAGTAGATAATCAAAGTGTAACATTTTGACCAAAGCACTTCCAAATGCCATATTTGAATATTCGAGACAAAGGCTTGGAGATTGCAATTCCAAATTCAATAAAAGGACTATACATGACTTTTGGAAAATGTTACCAAAGTGCAGAAGAAGAGATTTTCTATGTAATTTTTAGGAAAATAATTCACGTTGACTGATAGGATAAAATTTTTCTTTATTTAGTTATTCTATTTTTTAGAAATATCCTAACATATCAGAATAAAATCAAGTATTCTATTTAGTTCTTCTTTGTTTTCTTTAATACCCTAACGTATATGGAGGTGACTGCCATACCACAGTGTGTACTACCGTATGGAGATTATGAACCTACGACGCATTAAAGTAACATATAGCAATACATTATAAAACTATATAGCAAATATATTTTGAAATAAGAGAAGTTCTTTGTACAACTATGCAACCAAGCTCCTCTTCCAAGATGGGAATAACAGCATGCCAGATAAGACATAATACAATGTTTTAGGGGAAAAAATGGACACCTAAAATGCTAAACTACACCTAGAAAGAGAAGAAAAAAATATTAAAGAAAAAAGTGATAGATTAATTGGTACATGATGTAATAGAAAAGATAAATAAAAAGAAATGTGAATTTAAATGAATTGTTTGAAATGGTTTGGTATTCAAATATCATTACCCAATGTTTTATTACACGATTTTTATCGTGGATTTATTAAGGAAATGGTCATTTCATTGGTTGAACTCTTATCTTTTTGATTTGTTTGTAAATCTTCTTCAGTTGAAATATTTTTTTAAATGAAACCAGGTTCTTTAGGCTCAACCAATTCCATCTCACTCCCCAACACGAGAATCACAGAGTGCATGGTAGGCCTATCATCTGGGTGTTGTTGCACGCATAACAGACTAACATGAATGCAACGCAGTACTTCTGATACAATGTACGAGTCCCCTATGTTTTGGTCAATCAACTCTATAGCTCTGTTCTCTTTCCACATTTTCCATGCCTGAATCATAAAGAAAATAATTATTTGCAATTTTTCAATTTGACATGATAAATTGGCAATTAATTGAAGTTCTTACCTGACCAACTAGATTAAGAGTGCCTTCTGTATGATAATACGCTCTATTTCTACTGCCACATATAACCTCCAGCAATAAAATGCCAAAACTAAATACATCAGATTTCACTGAAAACAATCCGTCAACAGCATATTCTGGTGCCATATATCCGCTACAAGAAAAAAAGCCATTAAAGTAACAATCGTTTACATATATGTTACATGATAATATTATGATGTTGTGTTATAAACTTACTATGTTCCGACTATTCTATTTGTATTTCCTTGAGTCTCGTCTCCTCCAAATATTTTAGCCATTCCAAAATCTGATATTTTTGGATTCAAATTTTCATCAAGTAAAACATTACTTGTTTTGAGATCTCTATGGATAATCCTTAATCGAGAGTCTTGGTGAAGATATGTGATTCCCCTAGCAATTCCACAAATTATGTGGAAGCGTTGTGGCCAACTTAGCAACTTACCTTTGGTGTCATCTAGTTTATTCAAAGCAAATATGTTATGATACTCAATGTTGAATATTCAACTTTAGCAAGTCATCATTAAAAACTAGTGCAGCCAAATCTAAGCTTGATTCTCCTTACCAAATATGAAAGAGTCGAGGCTGCCATTCTTCATGTACTCATAAATTAGCATTTTCTCTTGTCCTTGAATGCAACAACCAAGAAGTTTTACAAGATTTCGATGCTGAAGTTTTACAATTAATTTCACTTCATTTAGAAACTCTGTCAATCCTTGTCTTGAGCTAATTGATAGAGTCTTTACAGCAATTTCTTGCCCATTCACTAATAATCCCTGCATACTCACACTCATGAGTTTTAATATTCATACTTCTTTAGTTTTTTTGTGGTAGTAATACTAAAGAATGATTACCCTGTATACTGGTCCGAAACCACCTTCTCCAATCTTATTTTTTATGGAGAAGTGATTAGTGGCAGTAGCAATTGTTGGAAGATCAAACAACGGGATATCCAGATCATTTTCGGGTCTTTCATTGTTATCTTCTATCAATAAATGCTCTACAAAATGGAGGAATATATTCAGTAATGGATTTGATTTTATTTAATTCAATATCAAGCAAGAACATATGGCATGTTAAAATGCTACTTGAGGTGCACTTCATTGTTACATGATGATAAAACCATGGCAATCTCCAATTTGCAGTATTTGTAATTAAAAAGTTATGTAAATAAAAATTTGCAGTAACAGTAATATGTTATTTACCAGAATTGTTCCTCCGGATTCTATAAATCAAGCAAGTACACAGTAAAAGGATTCCACAAACTGCAGCAATGGTGGTACCAACTATAATTCCGATTTGCTTTTTGCTCTTGGATTCTTTGATAAAAAATAAAGGATAAAAGTTATAGAAATCTTGAATTTTCAATAATACAATTCAACCTTTAACCTGAAGAACAATGATTATCAAGCAAAGTTCACAGTCCTTACCTAACTCTGAAGCAGGCATCCGGATATATAGATCTTGCCCACCAGATTGATACTGTTTGACGTCAATCAGATCACCAAACCACACCACACAGCCACTACCTTCTTTTACATCTGAATTAGCATAAGCCATACAAGAACAATTATTCAAGCACTTGACTCTGCATTCCTCTAAACCAACACTACCATCCAACCAAGTATGTGTGGTTTCTGGAACTTTTAGGGCTACAAATTTGACAAATCCATCATTTTTTGCGTCTTTGCAGCTTAATGGTGTATTGCGAACACATCCTTGACTCCAATCCGATGAGTTCCATGCTTGTGGTGACTTTGGACTGAACCCTTGTAAACATTGGCACACCTGTAGTTGTGTAATTATGCAGTTTGCATAGGCTCCACAAAGGCCATAAGTGTCACAAGTGTCTGCTGGGAGGGAATTATATATCTTCCAATTTTGTTCTCCTTCCCCCCATACATAGATATAATACTTATTAGTGGTTTGGTTTAAAACAATTCTGGAGATTGAAGAGTTATTCAAAAGGTTATATGTGTAGAAAATCTCATCCTTGTTGCTTACATACGTAAATCCAAAGATGGGGTTGGGTTCATCATATGTTAGTCCACTATAAGTTTGGCCATTCCAAGGTCCAAGTCTGAATATTTTCTTTGTACCCTTCGTCATATAAAACTCAGGATAATCATTAAGTTCCATACCCCATGATAAGTCTCCTGGGGATGGATCATCTAGACTCTTCCACGATGTTAATCTCCATTCTAGACCAAGTTTGAGGTTCCAACCTAACTTCATCCCTTGCAATAATGTATCTGATGGATAGTCAAAGCTTTGCCACAAATAGTCTTCTGAATTTTCTTCTCCCTCATTTCTAACCACAAGATTTCCACTGTCCAAAATCTCTGCCACCGGATTCTGTGCTTGTTTTAAGGATGTTGTGTTCCAAACAACAGTTTCGTTCTGGCTAAGCACAAGGTGGCCTGCAGTGTTTAAAGTTAACATGCCTGAAGAACCATTGATGGGTTTTTCTCTGTTTGCAACCCAAACAACGGTTTGAATTGGAATATTTTTAAACCAAATACCCAGGTAACGTGTGTTGGACTTACCTGGGCTGAAGAAACCAAGTTCAAATTTTCCACCTTGGGACACTAAGGTCTTTCCATCACTGATGGATTGGGACACACGAATGAAATCAGCTGCTATGGAAAATCTAAGAGAAGGAACAATTACACACGCAACCATAACCATGAGAGAAAGAATTTCCATCAAACGCCACATATTTTGTTTCATGCATATTTCTATGCTGATCTGGCTGGTGCTGGTGCAGAAAATGTCACAATTCTTATAGTACAGGATGAGAAGAGACTGAGAAACACACCTGGTTGCTCATTCTATGAAAAGTTCAAAACACAAGGCAATCAGCATGAATGGTCAATCCTACTAACCTGTATTGTAGAAAAGTTGAATCAAAGAGAAGAAAATTGGGTAAAGTAACAGAGGAAAAGACTAAAAATGCTGATTGTGTGGGATCGTGTTTGTTGATTTTTTTATTGACACGAATTGATCATGCAGTGACTTGTATTATATATTACTAGCATTATATGGTGACGGGTCAAATATTTATTTGATTAGTATTTTGTGGAGTGCAATTCAGACATGTTTATCATTATAAAATTTGCAATAAGAAAATACTTTTAAACATATAAATTATATTATAATTCAAATTTATAATAAATAAGTATTTAAATATATAAAATTATATTTTAAATTTATAATAAATAATACACATATAAACCCCTGTATATTAAATACAAAACTCTATCTTACACACAAAATTCTATCTTGTACGAAAGCATGTTTAAGGACTTTTCTATCACAAGAGATCTTTTAGGAATTTTTTAATTTCTTATCTAATTCAATTTTTATTTATCATAATTATTTATAAATTAAATTTTAATTTTTAAAAATAAATTATCAATAAATAAATATAATATTGTGTTATAATATAAATTACTTATCAAAATCTAAAATATAATTTATATGTTTAAAAATATCTATTTATACTAATTTTAAATGAGTAAACATCCGATTTAGTCCTTGAAGGATAGAAGAAGTAGTAGATAGGCCCTTGAAAGATTTTTTGTGATATTTGAATCCCAAAACTTTAACTCCATCATGTACATTTAGTCCTTTTGTTATACTTAATTACTAACTTTGTAATTTTTTTTGAATAGTCAATAGTTAAGTGTCAAATTGACACCTATTCCCTCTCTCGGTTAATTGTTCTCTCTCTTAATCACCTAATATGAATCATAATGTAAGATTTTGTTACTTTCTAATCAATAAGGAACACTTTGTCATGTTTAAATATTTTGGTCATGTGTGCTCTGATTGAAATGGAAGGTTGTTGTGTTCCGTAAGGTTTCCTATTGTTGAATTTTTTGTCTCAATTATTCTTAATTTCCCCATTTGTTATGGCTACGCGTTTAGAATTGTAAATCCTAAATTATTGAATTTGAAGTTTATCAAAATAAGTGTTTATTTTAAAAGATCTCAAGTAATGATGCTTCAATCGAATATATGAGTATTTTTACTATATTTAATGAATTACAAAACTCTTTTAATAGAAGTGGAGAAGTACCAAAATCTGGTATTTTAACCAGAGCACCCATGGCTAGAACATTTAAACATAACAAAGTGTCTATTGTTGATTGAAAAGTACGAAAAGTTTGCAATATGGTTTATATTAGGTGATTAGGAGAAAGAATGACCAATTAGGAGAGAGAATAAATGTGTCAACGTGAAAATTAACTATTGACTGGTTATGAGACTAACAAGTTAGTAACTAAGTACAAAGGAAGGAGTAAATTGCATATCGAAGTTAAAATATAGGGATCAGATGTCACATAAAATCTTTCAAGGACCTATTGACCACCTTTACCATATTTCAGGGACCAAATTGGGTGTTTAGTCAATTTTAAATATGCTTTATATATTAAAAGATAATATTTATTTGTATATACAATTTATTATAAATTTTAATTACATATAATAAATATTTAATTTGTGAATTGCACAAGCGAGAATATTAATATATATTAAACACAAATCGTTATCTTGCACAAAAGAGATTTTAGAAATTCTTTTAGCTTCTTCTCTAATTCAATTCTTATTTATTATATTTATTTATAAAACAAATTTTAATATTTAACAAATATTATCCCTATCTAAAATAATATTAAGTAACAACATAACATATTTATCATAAATCTAAAATATATTTATATGTTTAAAAATATCTATTTATATTTAAATAAAATTTATTTATTCAAATTGAGCATTTTTTTTTTTTTGCATTTGTCTTAGTAGTCTTTTCTGGTTCAATATGCAAATAGACAAATTTCTCTTCTAGATTTGATAGTTTCCTATCAATCGGTAAAGCCTCGTTGAATTTTACATGGATTGACTCTTCAACCATAGAGGTTCTAGAGTTAAAGACTATGTATGCCTTTAATGTATCAAAATATCTAAGAAAATATTTTTATCCACTTTGAAGTTAAACTTTCCAATTTGATGTTTAATGTTAAGCATATAGCACTTACATTTAAAAGGATGAAAAAAAATGATATGGTGGATCTTCTCCCTCTCCACATTTCATAAGAAATCTTATTTAGCAATGATCTTATCAATATTTTGTTTTGGATGTAAAACATTGTGTTCATAGCTTTTGTCAAAAAGTGTTTTGACAAAGAAATTTTGCAAAGAAGACTTCTAGTCATTTCTTGTTAAGTTTGGTTCTTCCTTTCAGTTGTCCCATTTTTTTTAGGTGTTCTTGGTGAAGAAAAGTTACAGAAGATACCATTCTTTTTGCAAAACATTTTAAAATTTGAGTTTTCATACATAGTTCCATGATTACTTCTGATGACAGATATACAAAAACCTCTTACTAAACCCTTTCTTAAATATTGAAATATGTTTCACATTTATGTTCTTAAGCTTTTTATGCCAAATCCATCTTTCATCTTCTCTGGAAATTAATCATGTTACATTTTGTTTGCCTAGATCATCTAGATTAATCTCATAGAGATTATTGTAGGCAATAAAGAGTACAATAACTTATCATTTTGCCTAACTATACATGAAGTTTTTTCAAAAGATATAGTATATTGATAAATGCCATAATTTAATAAATTTTATCCTTAATAGACAATTTCTTTGTTAATTATATATATATATATTATTTTGCCCCCATTAATTTATTGATAAATTAAGAATGAATATTAAGATAAGAGAAGGTAGAATGATAATATCAATTTTTCTCTCTATTTTGCAGGAAAAGAGGAATTTCTAAGTTTCACTGCTTAAGCCTTGAGCAACCATCACAACAATGAATTTATGAAGCTTAAACAGATTATTGGCGCCAGAGCTCCAAACCAGCCTACAGTGGTGAAGTAACAAAGATTCAACAAATTCTTGGTTCTATGGTGCCCAACCAGTGCTCGTGTTGTGGAAGTCTAGAGTTGAAGTGGTGAAAGCACTCAAGTTGTGAAGCTTACTCCAATCTAAAGTATTCTTCAACACTGTAGCTATGAGCCACTGTCGTAGTGGTGGGAGTGTTCAGATTTTTTCTCTGTTTTGAAGATCATATAAATACCTTTTGAGAACAATAGAAGGAGAGAACAAAGAATGAAAAAAATGAGAAAAAGAGAGAAACATGAAGGAGATTTGAAGAACAAGATTGCTTGGGAATGAGGATCATCAATTCTTTTTCTCTTCTTCTAATCTATGGATTGTATATTTGCATTTTCTTTGACTATACATAGCTAAACTCTCAATTGAGATTGAGTTCATTTGTCAATCTTAATGTAAACTCTTTCAAAAGTTTATATATGTGAATATGTTCAATTATTCATGGTGGTGCTTAATTCTATGCTTAATGTTTCTTTTGTATGATTTTGATTTCAAATATAGTTGGAAATCAAATTTGTGATTTGAACCGAATCTAAGCTCTTGATGATTATTTGATGTCTAGGAATAACTTCAAATTCATCAATCAACAAAGCTATAAATTTAGTACAAGAACATTAAATTAATACATTGAGGAATCAAATGTTGATTTAAGGTTCTTAGAGTTTCAAGTTTGAGGAATCAATTTGAATGAATATCTATGGATTGAAACCATGAATGAGTGAATAAATTATTATAAGAAAGAGTAACATAAAGTTTTATTGAATGAATATTAATCCCAACATCTTTGAAATATAAATTTCTTCTCAGTCCTACTGCTTATGCAAATTGTAACTCTTTTTAAGTTTAAGGAATCATGACACTTAATCCTTGTATCAAGTTCTTTATACTAGTTGATGATAGCTTATTCACATTTTAATTATCTACAAATCTCTGGAGATGATATTTGATCTATACTACTTATGACTCAATAAACTTGATAAATTAGAAAGTTACCATATATTTGCCGACAAAAATTGACTTATGCAAAACAAATTATATTTTAGTCCTTTAATATAATTAAAGTACATTTTCAACAATAGGTATATATAGAGTTCTTATCAATCTTACCTACATCTCTGATTTAAAATTTTGGTATTCAAATCTTTTTTGGTCCTTTTTTGTTAGTACCTTTGACCTTAGACATTCTTTTCTACTTCTTTATAAAAGTGTGCTTGCAGGTGTGATGATTATTTTTATCATAGATGTTGTAAAAAATAGCCTCAGGTTTAGATAAAGTTATTTTTGATTCCTCTTTCTCAAATCCAAAATTACTTGTGTTAGATATTAATCTTTTATGATTTAATGACATATTCATCTTAAAAGATTTATCAAACATCATAAGTGATATATTTAATGCATTCATCTTAAACAGATGAAATAGTTTGTTTGAAAGATTACATGACATTGTATCCAATTGTCTTTCTAAGTTCACCTTTCTATATGATTTGGAAATCATTTTTTTTAATAAAAACGTTTAAGTTTGTTAACATTAAAATTTATGTTCTTGAGAGATCCCAAATCGTTCTTTGATAATATATGATTATATTAAAAAGTAATATATATTTTATATTATTAAAAATTTTAAAATTTAAAAGAATGATATTTATAAGTTAAATAAATAATATAATGTATTTAATAATTATTATTTAATATTTATTTAAACCTATTATTAAAATATACATATATTCTGCACCTTTGATAGGGTTCCGTTGCTGTTAACAGGGATCGCACCCACAACCTAGTAGTTTAGTACAGCAAAAAGACCAACAATAGTAAATTATGTGTATTTTGTTGACAAACATAATATATATATATATATATATTCACTTTCAATAACTATTTTTTGTTTCAATTTTTACATGGACCATTTTATCCTTTGTTTATTTTTCAATAACTACATTTTTTTATGAGTAACTTCTCATTTTTTTTATTTATTTTTTTCTTTTAATACATTGCAGGCACGGAATGCCTTTTTCCTTCTAGTGATAATAATGAAAATTATTTTTTTTCAGATATATATAGTTAACTTTAATAAAATTTATAATAATTTTTTAAATAATCACTAAATATGTAAATTAAGAGATAAATTTTTAAGTGTAAAATGTTTGAATTTGTTAAGAGAAAGTGTGCACTATTACATCTTTGAGGAGATGTTTGTATAAACAACTGGAACAAATTCAAGTAACAAACAAGAAAAATGAAATTAAGAAAAAAAATGGTTAATGAAAAGGCCTGTGTCCAAACTAAAGAGTAAAGAAAATAAAGAAGTATTGAAATTGTGAAAAAGAAAGTAAAAGAGAAAATCAGAAAGATTACGTCTACCAGAAACTATGAGATTGGAAAGTCCTCAACGAGAACAAAGCTCCATCGACGCACATTAACTTTGGTTAGGGTTTCGGGTCAAAACACGGTTTCAAAGGTTAATACGATGTTCTCGCTCACTCTCTTTCTTTCTCTCTGTATAAAGAGAGAATGGATTGTGGCAATTTCTTCCCTCTATTTTTTTTTTGGCTAAAAACCTAATTTGGTCCCTTATAATATTTATTTGTTTTAATTTAGTCCCACTTTAATTTTTGGTTTCAATTTGGTCCCTAATAATTTAAATTATTGCAATGTCAGACTTCCATCCAAATTATTTAAATAGAGTTAACTGTTGGCCACGTGGATGCCAGGTGGATGCCACGTAGATGCATAGGTGAATGCCAAATTTCTTGAATACACCTTGAATCAGAACGGTCTGTTCTGGTTGCGCATGTTGTGTGTTAATTTTGCATCTGAAACGGGCCATTCCAGATGCAAAATTAACACACCACGAGTGCAGCAGAATAGACCGTTCTGAAACTAGAACGGGCTGTTCTAGATTCAAAACGGCCTATTCCAAAATGCCAACCAAATATGTACGTTGAACAAAATGCCACAATGTGATTCAAAAATTAAAAATAAAAATTCATATCATAAATTCAAAGACAGAAATATGGTTCAGAGACTGAAAACAAAAATTCAGACCATAACATATACTAAGAAAGTTCAAAGAAATTACTGAGAAGGGAAATCATCTGGATAACGCTGAAGGTGCCAATAATATATCTTATCCACCATATAACACTGAATGACTGATAGGATATCAGCATGATCTACCTGTACATGTGGTTGTGTGATGAAATGTTGGTCCTGTGTATCCTCTTCCTTTACTTCAGGTTATACCTCCTCAAGAACAGGTTGTTGTTGTTAGGGTACATCGTCAATGACTTCAAGGGAAAACACCATGTCGTTTCATCCTTGACTGTATAGTGTCAATTTGGTAGTAAGTGATTCACTCCAGTTTGACTAACAATGAAATAAAACATGCTACCATTATTCTTAGTGATACACTGCATTATCCTTAATGATACACTATATAGCCCAAATGTTTAACAATTGAAGTTATCAATCCCCATTAACAATATTACCAAATCTAGTGTTTGAAATGCTTTGTACCTTGGGTCTTTTTCCTTGCATGATTCACAACCGTGAACTATAAATCATTGACCGTTTGTGTTTGACATTCTAGAACCAGAACAACCAGTTTTGAAACCAGAATGATCCGTTCTGGTTGCACTATTGGTGTGTTAATTTTGCATCTGGAACGACCCGTTCTAGGTGCAAAATTAACACACCAAAAGTGCAACCAGAACGGGTCGTTCTGGTTCTAGACTGCTAAACACATACGGTTAATGATCATAGTTCACAGTTGTGAATCGTGGAAGGAAAAAGACCCAAGGTACAAAGCATTTCAAACATTGGATTTAGTAATATTGTCAATAGAAATTGATAACTTTAATTGCTAAACAGTTGGACTATACAGTGTATCATTATGGACAATGCAGTGTATCACTAAAGACAATGATAACAAATTTTATTTCATTGTTAGTCAAACTAGAGTGAACCACTTACTACCAAGTTGACACTATATAGTAAAGGATGAAATGACATGGTATTTTTTCTTGAAGTCATTAACGATGTACCCCAATAACAACAAGCTATTCTTGAAGAGGTAAAACCTAAAGTAAAGGAAAAGGATACATAGGACTAACATTTCACCACACAACCACATGCAAGGACGGATCTAAGTTAATCATAGTGGGGGCACTTGCCCCTACTAAATTTTTTTTCATTTTTTTTATATATAAAATATTAATAATTTTATAAAAAATATATTATTAATTATATTTTAATTATCTTGTTATATCTAATATAATAAATACATTAATATATTTTTTAAATATTTTATTTTATTGTTTAATTGTTTTTTATTTTATGGTAAAATTATCTTCATTTTTAATGAAGAAA